CGGAAAGGATAAACAATGCTTGCAACAATGGATATTGTTCAAAGATGGAGGCCTTCTTTTGAAAAGATCTCATTTATTTTTCATCACCTAGGTGGTTTGATTAACTTTGGTGAATTTTACTGCATTTGGCTAACGATGGCAGGCTGTTTTTATGGCCCTGGAGCAACTGCTTTCACTTGCTGGTTCTCAAGCACAGTCCTCCCTGGACTCACAAAGCCCTTTTACAACAACAATAAAACCTGAATTAAAATATAAAGAATATTTTATTTTTTAAAATACATTTTGAAATTTGGACCTAACACAATCTGACAGTTTGGATAGGTGGATTAATACTGAAAATGCCCATCAGCCACGTTCTTTATAGTCCTACATAGATATTTCAGATGTAAAGCTGTCTGAAGTGCTTGCAGTCGAGATGAATGTGTCAGCAAGAGTGAGAAATCTCAAAGAGGAAGAGAAGAAAGGGCTTTTTTTGTTTGGTGGGGGCAGGGTTTTTTTCTTGATTGGAAAGAAAGCTTGAATACATATATACAAAATAATAAAATAATTGGAATTACTATGATTTCAGTGTTATAGTCTTTGAATTTTAAAGCTACTTGTGTAACAGTCAATTGCTTAGATCAGATCCCTTCTGATCTGCTTGCACGCTCAGTTTGTATTTGTTAGGGAACATGGGATTACTTGGTTTAAGCATTTGTCCTGAACTTTCACAGAACCACTACAGCAAAAATGGAAAGCCCCCATTAAGAAAAACCTGTCTTGAAAGCAACAGATCGGTACATAAACTTGTTAATCTGTTGAGAATATAGTTATATGGGCTAGGCAATAATTAAAGACAACTAAAGTGCTGATGCTTGGACCTACAAGGGCAATGTCTATGTACCATATAGGAACTGTACTTGAGCACAAAATGCTACAAAAGAAAAATACAGCTTGACATTTGTAAACTGAACTGATTTCCATGTAAAAGGAGGAGTAATTTTATCCATCCTTAACTGTAGAGACAGTATTTCAAGATTTTGCAACTCCCAGACTATCTTCTGCCGTGCAGAGTTACAGTGAGGGTTGCTTATTGTTTCCTTTCTATAATTTTTTCTTTTGTAAATGGAACAATTTTGTGGCTAGGCAAGGGAAAAAATTCAACAGCCCTCCACAAGTGACAGGACTCTATGGAGCACATTTCCAACCCACCGAAATGCCCTCTCTAAGGGGCTTTTGTACTTTTAAACACCAATTGTCACTGGAAGGACCCCAGAAATGTTTAAGGCCCCACTCCTACAATGAATTCCCTGTGGGTGGACCTTTGTGCCCAAGCACAGCCCCATTGAAGTTGCTGGGAGTCACCATGGGCAGACAGACCTACATTTCTAATTGCTGTGCACGAATATAGACTGGAAGGGGCCTCCCGGGATCAGAGTCCTGGCCTCAGGTGCCATGTCAAATAGGCCTTTTTCAATAAACTGCCAGGTTACATTTTAAGGTGGGATTGGTCTATTTGCCCCCACTACTATGAGGTTTTCTGGCCTGGTTTTGGGTTGGGAGGGAGGAAGGCTCACCTTTTTGAAAATAAAATGTTGGAAACCCATTTGATCAAAATAATACTTTATGTCATTTTCTGTAAAAAGTCAGATGTGTAATGCATATATACCTATCCTTTTTTTCAGAAGATACGTGAGAACTCTTACATAGCAGCGTAGACATATATCAATTTCTGAGGTCAGCAAAGGCACAAAGGCTCACAGGAGATGCTGCAACCACAGCACATACCTACATGACTTCATATGCACACTGTGCAAAACACACACCTTGCCTGGCTTGCTGATTTTGTTATTTAAAAAGTAATAAAACTGCATCCTTTCTATGTTGTGCAAACCATATTTGCAATAAAGTGTTGCACCCACATGAAGATGTACAAAACCACAGGCAGAATTCATATTTTCTTCAACAGCACTAAATGAGACTGGGGGTTGGCTCTCATCTCCACGGACGGCTTTTAATGCTTGCTGAAAAACTCGGTGCACTGAGGACAGAGAAGGCTGGAAGGAGGCAGGGCTCCTCGGAGCCGTTCCTGCAGACAGTCGTGCACCAGCGCCTCTGCCCAGTACCTCTCCAGCAAGTGCCCTTCTGTGTATGTCCCAGGAACTGGTCACACAGCCCTGGGGTTTTTTCCTATGCCCTTGTTTAAGACCTGAATAATCAAATTTATTTAATTTGATCTAAACACCACTTCCCCTTCTCCTCACTCCCCTTTCCTGGGCAGCAGTGGTGACACGCTGCCCATGGGGGCTCACCCCTGGGCTCCCACAGCACCCAATCCAGCCGGTCCAGGCTGTCCCCACGCAGCTCTCGCACAGCACTGCCCCACTGCGCTTGCAGCATGGGTGTAAAGAGTGATGTAAATTGGGATTAATGCATCACTGGGAACTGACTTTTCTTAGTTTCTTATTTTTGCAATGTTACAGCATGCAAATAACTGTTTTTTTTCAAAAACGAGTCTGGGTAGCTTGATGCTCTTTCTTTTCTAGGACACTGCCTGTGTAAACGCTCTGCATTTAAAAGGTGGGTTTCTCAGTAGTATGCTTGCAAGCTGGGACAAGCTCTGGTGGGCCTTGCTGCGCCCTCAGGAATTCCAACAAATATTATTTTACTCCAAAAAAGGCTTTACAGTATTTACAGGGCCATCCTGGGTAATCGTGCTTTTATTCAGGCCTCCACTCTTTCTCTGCAATGCAAGTGGATGGATGTGTTGCATTCCCCAGAGCCTGCACCCGCCTGAAAAATGAGAGCCCCAACACGTCCCCAAGCCACTGCCCACACACCATGCGTGAGGACAGACGGCTCTGAGCCTCACTGCCACAGCAGAGCAGGACCCGCGGCTCCTTCCAATGCCAAAGCAGCATCTTCTGATCATTTACAGTCTGTCAGTTATGTTGCAAATATATTCATGTCACTCAGCTGGTTTCATGTCGCAGACACCAGCGGTGTGATGGGCAACCACACGTTAAGAGCGTACTTTTGAGGGAAAGACATAAAAGTTACTCAGTGGCTGAACTCTTGTTCACCCTGTTTTATGTAAAGCCATGCAGATACACAGAGGCTCTACACCATATAAGCCCACGGCTTTTGTGAAAAGACATAAAAGTTACTCAGTGGCTGAACTCTTGTTCACCCTGTTTTATGTAAAGCCATGCAGATACAGAGGCTCTACACCATACAAGCCCACGGGTTTTGTGAATAGTTTTGCATTATAAAAACTTATGGAAAAGGATTATTATGTGGTATACTGGCAAAAGAGTAAATCAACATCCACTGCAATGCCATTTCATTCACATATAGCACCGTAACGCTGAGCGTTACATGGCTGCATCCTGTTTTCCTGATAACCTTGAGGCACACACGCAACATCCTGATGTGCAGCAATCTGTATGTGGCAGAGCCCATAAATCAGCAGGACACGTTACACGGGGTCAGCAAGCCGAGGACTCCGAAAGCTGTGTATCGATAAGGCTGCCTGATGGGAAAGCCTGGATGTTGTGTTTCTGCATTGGAAATGCAAACTGACGTCTGGATGAGCCTGGGGCTAGGGATGGAGAAGGTGCTCCAGCTGTGGATTAGTCTGGAGGACACTAAGATGAAGCTTTAGCCCACCAGAGCCAGGATTGCTGGGAGAGCGTGGGAATCAGGGCCACAGGAAGGCAGAGCATCCCTGGGAAACCATGCAGTGTCTAACAGCAAGGTAAGTGCTGAGATAACCGTACCTGCTGTGAAACGTTTCCTTTCTCAAAGTTAATTCAACCTGGCAAAATGTGACATTTAGCAAACCAACACACTGCCACATATTTAGTATATGAATAGCTGAGATACGGTGTATTTTCATTGGGATGTTCCTCCACCAGGAGCATTCCTCTGTTGTAAGGTTTCTGGGCTATGTCTCCAAACTCCATTACGCAGGGTAAACACTCCCTGGATAACACCGCTGGCCAGAGCCCATAAATGCTATGGTTTCCAGCGCTGAATGATAAAGAGCAAGTTATAGCTTTTCTCTGCTCCAAGCTACTGTATTTCACCAGGAATCTGAACAAGAATGGCCTGTCTATATCACCCATTCATGACAGTATTTGCTTTTCAGAAATTATCTCAGTAAAAATTCTCAGGTTTAAGATGAAAGAAGCTCTTTTGATTTACTTGCGATGCAGTAGAAACAGGGCTAGGCTACTAACAAATGTTCATGGTAACTATATGATGATTGATATCAAGGCTCAAGGCTAACTGGAGTAAATGAAACATTACAGCCAATTTCATAAAGTATCCTTGCAGGTATAGTACACAGACTAAAAATCAAAACAAAACCAAAACCTTCCTAAAAAAATAATTAAAAAATATCCCAACCTTGGACTGGACCCTAAGACACAATTAAAGATCAAGGAAGACCAAATGGCTGGACATTTAAATTGGTGATTACATAGTGATACAGTTAAATGGTGCATGCTTGGGAGGCTGGAACCAAAAGGGACAATCCTGATACTGGGAGGCTATCCCAAATGTCAGATATTTAAAATAATATGCATAGTTTCTACGCAAGTCCTTAATTTTGTTTCTGCTAGGAAATAGATTAAGCTTTAACTTAAAGTACTGAATTATTGACAAAACCATGATGCAATTTGGTACAACTTTTTTTTAACCAGGTCAACAGTGAGACAGGCGCCATAGTGAACCACGCCTGCTTTCAGAGAGGCCTCTCACTTCTGGAAATCGGGAAAGAGGGCAAGAAGGGAAAATACAGCACTACAGTGAAAGGAATATTTCACTGAACAGTAGCGAATGCAGAAGCTCCAGGTGTATTGCATCAGGCTTAACCCTGGAAAGCACATTTCACTGAACAGTAGCGAATGCAGAAGCACCAGGTGTACTGCATCAGGCTTAACCCTGGAAAGCATCCTCAGAAGGAGGGGAGCAATGGTGGAAAGATGAAGATTAGTGGATACGAAGGCAACACTTACTGATTCAGGATCCCTCTGCTGTTCAAGGAAAGCCGAAAACTCCACCAGCCTGAGCTTGGTCGTACCAATCGATCGGCCCTGCCACGCTGGGACCGAGGGAGCTGGAGCTGACGTAGGCTCAAATCCTGAAATAAAGGAAATGTTTTCATCAAGAAGTTGATAATTGCTCAGCTTATATTTTCTGAATTATATATAATCAGGAAATACGCATGTAGCCCTTGGATGTTTATATTAATTTTAGCAAACAATGAATTCAGAAAGAGTTAAAGCTGGAAAAACACAGAACAATATGTAGAAAAAAATGGTCCTGGTCCCAACCCAGCAAGTTAATA